TCAGGGTCCTGGGATGGAGCCCTGGATTGTTGGGCTCCCTGCTTCTCCCTCTCCCCTCCGCCCCTCCCCCCCTGCTCGTGCTCGTACTCTCTCAAATAAAATCTTTTTTAAAAAAAAATACTTGAGCAAAAACAAGAAGCAAATACAACAATAATAATTTGTAAATCACATGGTGGATATTATGGGTGTCCATTATACTGATTTCTCTACATTTCTCTGTTTGAAATTTTTCCTAAAAGACTAAAACAACGAAGGAAAAATGAGAGCTTGAATGTTCTAGAAGAGATAATTAGAAGTGTAAGATTACTGAAAAGACGGTAGATGGGATTTAAATCGTTAAGTGGAGGAATTGGACCAAATGACAGAAAAGTCACTTCCTCTGTTTTGAATAGAGGGAAAGGAGAATGTGATGAGTCGGTTATGTTTGTAGAGTTTTATATATATAGTGGTAGAAAATTGAAAGAGTTCCTGTCTGATGGCTTCTGCTTTCTCTGTGATATAGAAGGCAAGGTCATCTGTAAGAGGGGTTGTGAAAGGTCAGAAACTTAAGAGTTCAAAGGAACTGACAGTTGATACTAAGAGTGGAAGTGATGAGTAAAAAGCTGTTGTAGGGTTGCCGGGTGGTTTTGAGGGCCCAGTTGAGATGGGTGAAATGAATTTGTAGTATAACTAATATGCCCTGTTGGACTTTTTTGATCAGTGTTTGGTCACTTGAGTACTTGGCCAAAAGGTAGGTAGTTGGATTCATACAAGGTTGTGGCTTTTGTTTGTTGAGTGTGACAACATAAAAGGGCTGGGAAACTAGGGTGCTGGCAAAATTGTGGGTGAAGTGCTGGACCTGGAATCTAATCTGTTTAAGAAGGGAGGTGCAGCTTGCAGGTAGAAGATGAATGAGTTCTAGAGATCTGCACCTCGTAGTGCTTATAGTCAAGCACACGGTAGTGTGTGCCTCTAAGTTGCTAAAAGACTAGATTTTAAATGTTCTCTCTACCAAGAAGAGATGGTAATTGTGTGATGGGGTAGTTAACTCTGGTGATCATATTGCAATATATAAATTTCCAAATCACATCCTATAACTAAAACTTATAACTTACACGATGTTATAGGTCATTATATCTCCATAAAAAAGAGGAGAGGTACCACAAACTCATATTTCATATTGAACTCCTCATCTCTCTTATGAACCTTCTCCTTCAAGGACTTCAAAGTGTCTGGGATTTTAATTACTTACTAGCTAGTAAATTAGCCTGTTACTGTTTCATGGACGCTAGCAGATGACGTGAGACTCCTTGGTCAGCCCAGCAAATAGCCTATCCTGGTGTTGGTTTGTGCTGATTCCCCCATGTTCCTCAATTCCTATGGGGTTAACACAGGTGGGCCTAGATAGATGCCACATATACATTGGATTTGTGTCACAGCCCAGAAACAGCTTGGCGAATGTACCACTTTTATAGTAAGTGGAAGCAAGCTTTGCTCTGTCTTGGCGGGGAGACATTGCCATTTGCTTGCTCCAAATACAACCCTGAGAAACGGCCCAGGTGAGCGTGATGAGGGCCTTATATTTTGGCAGGCCCAGGAAAAGTGTATAGGGGTGTTCAGAACCCATGGCCTCTCCCAAAAGTAACCCATCCAGTGGTGGTGGTGAGGGAACTGCTTTCTGTGTGCCGTTTCTGTTCATGGTACTCCATCCGTTTCAGCACCCATGCTGGAAAATGTCCATTTGGTACAGATCTTAGTATATCCTGAGTAGCTCTTGCTAGCCGTGTTACCTGAAACTGAATTTGCCTCTTGGTGAGAGTTGAGCCAAAAGACACAACCAAGCCAAAGAAAAGGAAGGGTTTTACTTGCAGTAAGTAAAGGAGAACCGTGGGTACCCCCCGCCAGAAAAGCAGTGTCTCCCGGAAGGACAAAGTCGGGGACCTTTGAAGGTCAGGGTGTATACGTACTCATGAAAGGGCTTGGGCGGTGGGGCAGAACTCATCCTAAGGTGACGGAGTCCAGGTCAAAGCCCGGGAAGCTGCAAAAACAGAGGCCAGATCATCAATTCTGTGGCTTGGGTGGGACTGGTATCTGAGTGCTCAGAGGGATTTAGATCCTGCAGAGATAACTCAAGAGTGTGGGTCAGGTCAGTCTCCTGGCCTGATAGTGGCTGTTTGTTCTCCCATTCTTTCCCAAGATGTCTGGGGGCCCGAAATGACTTCTCAAGAAAGCGAGGTCTATTGGCCTTTCTTCGGGGACCCCTAACTCTTTCTGCTTACAGTTGCAGATAAGCTCCACTTTAGTTAGTTGTATGTGGGTGGCTATTGGGGTGGGAAGGCAGTAGTGGGTGGGTAAGTGGTGGTTTTGAACACCCTGGAACTAATGAGACCTGTGATGGCCCCTTAATACTCCTTATTAGGTACATTAGCAACTCAATAAGAGCTTTACATCAGCTTCGCATGCCGAGGATTTTTTTGGAACTCAGAAAATAAAGAAACATCAGAACCAGAGTTTTTAGGATTAGGCTGGACCTCGGTATGGTCCAGCAAGGGTGATTAAGGTTGTGAATGTAAAGAACCTGAATGCTATTTATCTTCAGTTAGGCAGAATGATCTTCCAGATTCGCTGTAATCTAACCAGCCTGGTACTCTCTGAGGAACATACTAAATTGTTAAACAGAACTTCATCAAGAAATTGTTAAGCCTTACAATGATCAAAATTTGCTGGAAATTTAGATAAACGGAGAGCTATATTATAGTAGTAAATTGGACATGGAATATTAGAAGGGTGTCAGTTCTTACTTACAGTTTAAAAAATGCCATTCCAAGCAATCCTAATAGATTAACTTGTTAATTTGACAAAATAAAGTTAACCCTAATAAACAAGATACTTGTACTACAGGTTGAAGTGAATGCAGGATGACACCAGAAACAGATTCTTTTTTTTCTAAAAATTTTATTTATTTTTTTAAAGATTTTATTTATTTATTTGAGAGAGAGAGAATGAGAGATAGAGAGCACGAGAGGGAGGAGGGTCAGAGGGGGAAGCAAACTCCCCGCTGAGCAGGGAGCCCGATGTGGGACTCGATCCCGGGACTCCAGGATCACGACCTGAGCCGAAGGCAGTCGCTTAACCAACTGAGCCACCCAGGCGCCCCTATTTATTTTTTGATAGCAAGAGAGGGAACACGAGCAGGGGGAGTGGGAGAGGGAGAAGCCGACTTCCTGCAGAGCAGGGAGCCCGATGTGGGGCTTGATCCCAAGACCTTGGGATCATGACCCGAGCAGAAGGCAGACATTTAACGACTGAGCCACCCAGGCGCCCCCAGATTTTCCGTTATGGGAATCAGAGTCTCTCTCATGGGAATTTGGAGATGGGGTGGTCATTTGGGTCTCTAATTTTAACCTGAGGAAATACAGACTGGGTCTTGTGCTTGGAGAAGCAGAAAAAGTTATTTTGTAGAAAGAAGAAAAACAAATAGGAAGAGAAAAACGGGACAGGTAGAGAAAGAATACTATCAGTTTTCAGCTTCAGTTTCTTCCTGAGATTGTAATATTCCTGCCTTTGGGTTCTGTGATTCATCCTAAATCCTTTAAAATTTTTTTTTACTTTATTTATTAAGCTATTTCAGGTTAGTTTATTTAGTGGAGAAGTGTCTTAGGCACTAGGGATGTAGCAAAAAAACAAAAGCAAACAAAGTCCCAGTCAAGGAGCTTACATTCTACCAGGAGGAAACAAACAACAAATAAGCAAATACCTGCTAGATGGTGTTGAGTCATCAAGTGGCCTTACAGGGTAAGGCGGGTGCATATGGGCTATCAGCAAAGGTCCCTCTGAGGAGGTAGCATTTGAACAAGTCAGCAAGCAATGAAAATATCAGGGGTAAGAGCATTTCAGGCCGAGGGAAGAGCAAGTATAAAGACATTGAGACTAGACCCTACTTAGTGTGTAAAAAGGACATCAAGAAGTCTTTGGAGTGGGTGGAGCAGAGTGAGATGGACAGTGTTATTGACAAGGTCAGAGGGTTATGTGTAAGAGATTGGGTAAGGCTCTGTAGGTCAAGGTGGAGTTAGGTTTTCCTTTGAATGGGAGTGGAAAACCTTGTAGGATTTAAAGGAGAAGAAAGACTGGTGTTTTGGGGCGCCTGGGTGGCTCAGTCGTTAAGCGTCTGCCTTTGGCTCAGGTCATGATCCCAAGGTCCTGGGATCGAGCCCCGCATCGGGCTCCCTGCTCCGCGGGAAGCCTGCTTCTCCCTCTCCCACTCCCCCTGCTTGTGTTCCCCCTCTTGCTGTGTCTCTCTCTGTCAAATAAATAAAATCTTAAAAAAAAAAAAAAAAAAGACTGGTGTTTTAACAAAGGATGACTCAGTTGCCATATTTAGGATAGACTGGGGCGTGGTGGAGGGCAGGAGAAAGGAGACCAGGTGAGAGATGGTGGTGGCTTAGACCAAGGTAGGCAGGGTGGGGTTATTGGGGTTGGTCAGATCCTAGATATTTTTCTGAAGGAAGAACTGGCAGGCTTTGCTGATGGATTACATGTAGGGTGTGAAAGAAATAAGGATGACTCCCAGGTGTTCAGCTTAAAGAGTTGACAGGACTGAATTTCCATTTACTGAGACAGGGAAGATCTGGGGGTGGAGTGGGGTTCAGCTTCAACGTGTGAACTCTGTGGTGCCCATTAGACCTCTGAATGGGGATAAATAGATATGGCCGCTCTCTGCAGTTTTGTCAAGTATTTCCCCCCGGGCTGTAGTCTAGTACTAAGGGTCTGTAATTTAGTCTTGAATATTACAACTCAGGATTTCTCTTCCATCCTCTGATCACCTTCTCCATCAGACCCTGTTAGTGAGTAATCTAGATCTGTATTTACTAAGTCGGTTGTTCCTGGAACTTGGAATTGCTAGCTCACTTGAGTTTCAGAAGGATCAAAAAGAAGTTACATGTCAGTAGTTCAGAAAGTAGATTAATATGTAAGTGGAGAACTGAATCCAGCTGGCTCTGGTGTCTGGTTTTTTTTGACAGTTGCTTTCACTTGCTAATTTCTGAGGCAAACAAGTGAAAGGATGAGTGAACTGGAGCAGTTGAGGCAGGAAGCTGAACAGCTTCGGAATCAGATCCAGGTAAGAGCAAAGTTTCTCATTTTGGAATTTTAACATTTTTATTTAGTACCAGCAATGAATAAGATGTGTTCATTATTGGATCGGACTACATATATTAAATGTATCAGTCTTGAAGTGGTCAATTTGTTTTTATACCTCTAAAGTACTCCCTAAAAATCATTCCTGACAAATATCTGTGTGCACTTACGACCTCTGTGTCCCTAAGAAGTTAATATTCTGTAGGTAATTCCTGCTGAAAGACAAACATAATTCTCTTAGTCACACACCTGGAATCGTAGTTTGGTTTTTGGTGCAATATGATGAGGCAGATGTTATCACATTGTAATACACTAGAAAAATCTGAATCTCTAAAATATTAGATTGCAGAAAAACATTAAAAATTATTAGTGGCATAATAATGTGTCATCTTTTACTGTTGGAAATCAACTCAAAACAGCAAAGAACTTAAATAACAAGTTCCGTCTGACAACAAAATTAAAAGACATTTAGAACTTCACTCTAAGAATCAAACAGTGATGCATCAGGGTGTGGGAAGGCTCAGAGGGAGGGTTTCTGCAAAGTGGGTAGTTCTCCCTCAGCAAAAACAGCAGTAATCTTCTGGAACAGTGGAAACGGATGAACAGAGGTCTATCAAGGAAGATAGAGCTAAAAGATGGTGTGTCTATATCCCTTCATGTTTAGGAAGCCTCTTGGTGAGCAGGGTAGAGGAAAGAGACTGAATTGTAGCCTGGCTCTGCCTACTTACTGCAGAGAAAGCAAGGGTTGCGAAACAGTAAGGGATACACATGAAGAACTTGAGCACAAAGCCAGAAGAATCCCTAATGGCTCGGAACACTGCCGGCCCCGCCCCACCGATGAACCTTCTGCAAGAACTGTTTCAGAAGAACTCTTCCGATTTGATGAGTGAAGAATGAGAAGAAAGGATTGAGCACAGGATCTCTACAAGGATATTACAAGAAAAGAGAGGAAAGGAGCGGAAAGAACAAAGGATGGCTGAAGAACACTCACCAAGAAAACGATTCTGATTGGCTTGAAATCCTAACCAAATTTCACTGCCAGGAATTCAAGGAAGTGGATGATTTAGATGTGAATAAGAACTCTTGAGTTTGGTAGTTTAGGTGTCTGACAAAGCTGTCAAAACAAAGGAGGGGTTTATTTTGCCTGGGATGATGAGGGAAGGCTTCACAGAATAATCTCTGAAGTAGATGTTGTTGCCAACACCAGAATGGATTCTCTGCCACCTCTGCTTTGTGTCACTTGCCCCAGAAGCTGAACAGGACGGACTGACTGGCTAAGCACATGGTCACATGACCGTGTCATTTAAAAAGTGTTCTCTGTATATATAAGCTTGGATATTTATTTTTTTTGGATTGCATATAAATGAGATCATATGGTGTTTGACTTTTTTCACTTAATGCTCACAGGATCCACCCATGTTGTTGGAAATGGCAAGATCTCATTTTCTTTTTATGGCTGAATGATATTCCTGTGCATGTGTGGGTACCAGCTATGTTTTCTTCTAGGAGTGTTAGGGTTTCAGGTGTTAAAATTCAAGTGTTTAGTCCATCTTGAGTTTATTTTTGCGTATGGTTTAAGATAGTGGTACAGTTTCATTCTTTTGCTTGTGGCTGTCCAGTTCTCCCAACACCATTTATTAAAGAGAGTCTTTCCCCTGTTGTCCTAAGTTAATTGACCATACATGCATAGTTGTGTTTCTGGGCTCTCTGTTCCATTGATCCATATGTCCATTTTTATGCTAATACCATACTGTTTGATTACTGTGACTTTGTAATGCAGTTTGAGATCAGAGAGCATGATACCTCCCGTTTTGTTCTTTTGTCTCAAAATTTCTTTGGCTACTCAGGATCTTTTGCAGTTTCATACAGATTTTAGGATATAAAATTGTATTTTTGTGAAAAATGCCGTTTGAATTTTGATAGGGATTGCATTGCATCTGTAGCTTGCTTTGGGTAGTATGGACATTTTAACAGTATTCTTCCAATCCGTGAGCATAGAATAGCTTTCTATTGATTTGTGTCTTCAGTTTCTTTCATCTGTGTCTTAATAGTTTTCAGTACACAGGTCTTTCACCTCCTTGGTTAAATTTATCCCTAGATGTTTTATTCTTTTTGATGCACTTGTAAATAGGATTGTTTCCTTGATTTCTTTCTGATAGTTTTTAGTGTATAGAAATGATAGATTTTTGTGTATCTTGTATGTATTTTGTATATCTTGCAGGTTTACTGAATTTATTTCTAATGGTTTTCTTTGTGGAGTCTTTAGGATTTCCTGTATATAATATGTCAGCAGCTAATAGCTTTATTTCTTTCTTTCCAATTTGGATGCCTTTATTCTTTTTCTTGCCTAATTGCTCTGGTGAGGACTTCCAGTAACATGTTGAATTAAAGTGGGGAGAGTGGGCATCCTTGTCTTGTTCCTGATGTTAGAGGATAAGCTTTCAGCTTTTCATTGTTGAGTGTGATGTTAGCTGTGGGCTTGTCATATAGGACCTTTATTATGTTGAGGTACACTTCCTCCATACCCACTTTTTTGAGAGTTTTTCTCATAAATGGATGTTGACTTTTGTCAAATGCCTTTCTGCATCTTTTGAGATGAGCATACAGTTTTTATTTTTCATTTTGTTAATGTCCTGTATCATTGATTTGTGATGTTGAGCCATCCTTGCATCCCTGAAATAAGTCTCACTTGAGTATGGTGTGATTGTTTTAATGTATCGTTGAATTTGTTTTGCTGCCCGTTTGTTGAGGATTTTTACATCTGTGTTCATCAGGGATACTGGTCTGTAATTTCCTTGTGGTGTCCTTGCCTGGAATGATTGGCCAAACACAAGGTCCCATACTAATCTCGTTAATCCTTTTAGCAACCCTGTGAGGTAGATGGTGTTGCTTTGTTTCACAGATGAGGAAACTGATCCTTAGATGAAATAACTTGACAAGGTAACGTAACTGCAAAGTGGTAGCTCCAGGATTCAGGCCAGGTATATGTATATATATTTTTAAAGATTTTATTTTATTTATTTATGTGAGAGAGAGAGAGCATGTGTGTGTACACAAGCTATGGGGAGAGGCAGAGGGAGAGCGAGAAGCAGACCCACCAAGCAGGGAGCTGGACGCAGGGCTCGAACCCAGGACCCTGAGATCATGGCCTGAGCCAAAGGTAGATGCTCACCTGACTGAGCCACCCAGGAGCCCCTCCGGCCAGTTATATTTTGACACCATATCCTGTGCGCTCCCAGCCCTGCAGCCTGTGCTAACATCCCACTCCACAGCCTGTGTTGTAGTCCCGTGGCTGTTCCCTGATCGTGCGTTGTTTAGGTCATCGCCCTTCATCGCCCTTCATCGCCCTTCATCGCCCTTCATCGCCCTTCATCGCCCTTCATCGCCCTTCATCGCCCTTCATCGCCCTTTTACAGATGGTTTCCTTTGCCTAGGGTTATACTACCTTGGCTCCACTTTTTCTCCCAAGACTCCTCTTCGTTGAGTCCCAGTCCTCTGAAAAGCCTCACCAGAATCCTGTACTTGGATTTATTCTCCTTTTATTGGAAGGCAGGCAGCATGGCATGGTGGAAAGTGCATGGGCTTCAGCTTTTCATTATTCTGTGGCCATGAGCAAGTTTAACTTCTGTGATTCTTGATATCTTTCCTGTAAAGTGAGAATACCAGTGCCCACTATGTAGGTTTGTGAAGATCACGTGAAATGACGTGCATAGGACTTATCAGTAAATGGTAGCTCCTTACTCATACAGCACTTTGGGATTTGTGTTACAGGGTTGATCACAGCTGGCCTTGTGTTGTGGTTCCTTGTGCGCATTTGCCTCTGCTACTTGTACTTGGATGGAAAATTCTGTGTCCTAATCATTCTTCATAGCTCACCAGCATCCCAAACAAAATTGCATGGGTGCAGGTGCTCACGTTCCTCTCTCATGATTTCAAGTAACCACATGTATGTAAGGTGCCATGTACTTTATTTCTCAGTTTAATCATGTCATGCTATATTTAAAGACCCTTCCTCTCTTTCCCCCTCACTTCTAAAATATAATCTAACTGTATACTTCACTGTGTGTCAACACCTGACATAATAGAAATGTATGGAATCTTACGCAGTATTTTAAAATATTATTTTAAATTAAAAAAACAGAAGTAGAGGAAACAGACTTTTCTTTTGTAATTGTTATTTGGAGTGAAAAATACCACTTTTCTCTTGCACAAAGATGTCTTAGATTATGGTGGACAATATAGACTTCAGCCTTTAATTGGGAATAATTTATATTCAGTTTTATAATGGATGAGTTCATACGAGTAAATTCTTCTCCATGTGAGTAGAATCTTTTCATGATTTGCAAGTAACTGCTATTTGTAGAATGCTTATATTCCAGCGTTTTAATTTTTACCGCTTTGCACTGTTCAGTAGTTTTCACTTACAGTGTAATTGTACTGTTAATATTACAAGCCCTCCGAGGGCTGGCCTTTCTGGTATGCTGCGATAACTGCTGTGCCCAGAACAGAACCTGACACAGATTGTGGGTTGTGTTTTTTTTTTATTGAATAACTGAATCAAGAAAGATGACCTAAACAATGATAGTTCACTTTCACAAAGCTTAACATCAGAAAACCCTGTTTTTAGAATGCGGGTCAGGCCATTGCTGTCGTTTTTGGAAATTCTTTTCATTGTAGGAAACTGGACCAAATTATTCCTTGCCAAATGAGGTCTCGGCCCACCGTTTGACTAAGAATGAGAGAATCAAATCATGTTTGTGTAACTACTTATGAACAGCCTTACACAGAAATATTGTGTTATAAATAGGTTGAAAGGGCAGCTAAAAAAGAGCGTGTATTCCATGTAGTCTTTGCCGCAGGCAGAGGCAGACATTTTTCCCTTGGCTGACGGGACAAGTCCATTTGGGCCATTGGGGCGTTTATTCAACAACTGTGTGCTTCCTCTTTGCGGCAGGAGTATGCCAAGCGCAGTGGGGAAAAAGAGTTGAAGAGGAGGGGGACTGACTGATTTTTGAGAGGGGGAAAAATTGTTTCAAGCCTAGTAGGAAGAATTGTGCTTTTGATTTTCCCATGTTATATGAATCCTCTCAATTTATTGAGAACCCCGGTTTAAAACCCCTTGTTGCTTATGAAATGTTATTTTGTTCTATCGATTTCTGTTTCACTATTATCTTCTTTTTGATAATTCCCTTCAGCTTGTGGAAAAATTTAAGGTCTCTTTGAAAGGCTATCCTGTAATGCTTAAACATAAACACCTGCTTACATGTAAGGACCTTGCTATTAATGTATAGATGTGACTCAGTAAGCGCTGTTACCTATTACATAAATTGTTTTCCTGATGTATCCTATCTTTTCCTCATTGGATCTAAAATATTTTATTTTATTTTTTTTTAAAGATTTTATTTATGTATTTGACAGAGAGACAGCGAGAGCAGGAACACAAGCAGGGCGAGTGGGAGAGGGAGAAGCAGGCTTCCCGCCGAGCAGGGAGCCCGATGCGGGACTCGAACCCAGGACTCCGGGATCATGACCTGAGCCGAAGGCAGACGCTTAACGACTGAGCCACCCAGGCGCCCCTAAAATATTTTATTTCTGATTGCAAGTACACTGTATACAGATACTAAGCATTTTAAAGAAGTGCTTATACATTTATAAAAATATTTCTGAAATGACCTGAGTATGCTATAAATACCCTTCCTATCACCTCAACTTCTAGATGCCAGAACAAACCAAAAGGGAACTCTGAAGCTTTTTGCTGAAGCTTAGTAACAAATATAACTCTGAATACTATGGGCTTATTAAATCAACCTAGTTCATTTTTACTCATGGGGATGCAATTTAAAATCTTTTAATCATAAACCAGAAGTATATTTGCACAATGGAATAGAATTGAGAGTCCCTAAATGAACCCATGTATCTAAGGCTGATTGATTTTTTTTTTTTTTTCAACGAGGATAACAAGACCATTTGAGAGGGAAAGAACAGTCTTTTCAACAGATGGTGCTTGGACAACTGGATATCCACATGCAAAAGAATGAATTTGGACTCCTACCTCATACCATTTATAAAAATTAACTGAAAATAGTACCTAAATATAAACGCTAAAAGTGTAAAAATTTAGGGGCGCCTGGGTGGCACAGTCAGTTAAGCATCCAACTCCTGGTTTTGGCTCGGGTCATGATCTCAGGGTTCTGGGGTGGAGCCCCACGTCAGGCTCCTTGCTCAGGGTGGAGTCTGCGGAGTCTGCTTGAGATTCTCTCTCTCTCTCTCTCTGCCCCTCCCACTCGTGCTGTCTCTTTCTCTCTCAAATAAATAAAATCTTTAAAAAAAAAGTAAAAATTTTAGAACTAAAGCTGTTAATCTTTGTGAGCTTGGTTTAATATGACACTGAAAACCCAAGCAACAGAAGAAGTAAAAACTTCTGTAAGGACACTAGTCAAGAAAATGAAAAGACAGCCTACAGAATGGGAGAAAATATTTGCAAATCATACATCTGATAAGGATCTAGTGTCCAGAATATATAAAGAGCTCTTACAGTTCAACAATAATGCAATTTAAAAATGGGCAAAGAATTTGAATAGACATTTCTCCAAAGAAGATGTATAGATGGCCAGTAAGCACATGTACAGATAGATGAAAAAGATGCTCCCCATCGCTAATCATTAGGAAAATGCAAATCAAAACTACAGTGAGATACCACTGCACAACCATGAAAATGGCCAATAATAATAATACAAAGGACAACTGTGGGTGAGGATGTGAAGAAATTGGAAAGCTCATAGTACGTTCCTGGTGGGAATGTAAAATGGTGCAGCTGCTGTGAAGAAAACAATTTGACACTTGATTAAAGAGTTAATCGTAGAGTTACCACATCCTCCACCACTCCTAGGTATATACACGGGAGAACTGAAAACACGTATACACAACTTGTACATGAATGTTCACAGCCTCATTATTCACAAAAGCTAAAAAGTGGAAAGAACTTAAATGTCCATCAGTTAATGGATAAACAGTGTGATCCATCCCTACAGCAGACTATTACTCAGCCATAAAAAGAAATGGAGTACTGACATTTGCTACAACATGGATGGGCCCTGAAAACCTACATTAAGTGAAAGAAACCAGACACAAAAGGTCATAAGGTCATATTACAGGATTCCATTTGTAGGAAATGTCCAGAATGGGCAAATCTATAGAGATAGAAAGTAAACTAGTGATTACCAGGGAATGAGTGAATTGGGAGGTATAGGGATTTTTTTTTGTTCTTTTTTTTTAATGGTAAATGTTCTGGAGGAATTAGTGGTGGTTGCACAAAGTTGTGAAGATAGTAACCACTGAATTTTAAATAAAGAATATGTTACAGTGAAAGGTGTATTTGTCAGTCTACATTTTCAATGAAAATAGTATTTTAAGTCCTATCCAGAGATTTCCATGTTTAAATGTATTATAATCCTCTTTCTTTAGGATGCTAGGAAAGCATGTAATGATGCAACGCTTATTCAGGTAAAATTGTTTTTTTTTTTCCTCCATTTTAGTAATTCACATGAAAGAGCTTGATACGGATGCAAATGACATTCATATGGTTTTTATTGTATTTAATTGAAAAAAGTGAGATCTGTATTTTTATTAAAAACTAATCTGTAATTTGTCAAATAATGTACATGTGCTTTTTAAAGCATACTTGTTAAAATAGAAGCCTGTGGAAAAACATATACTCTAAAAATACATAGATTCATATGTATTTTTTTAGGTAACTTCTGATTCTTTTTGATATGTGCTATTATACTTTTTTTTTCTTACATCAACTCTTAGGAAGGTTTCATTAGTTTAATATTGGTAATTTTTATTAAGGAAATACTTTATGTACTGTACTAAAGCTTGCTTTCTTATTGACAGTTAAAATTATACGTGTTTTACTCTTTGATCATCTATTTGATTTTTATTTGTGGCTTTTTTTTTTTTAACTAAAGTTGGGAGATATATCTATTCTTAACACTGGAAGGTGTGCAAATAGGATCATTTTAAGTCATACTTTTTCTTCAACTTACTGATCCTATAATGGCTCTGGAATTATTGCTATAAATTTGTCTTATGCCTATTATTTCTACTTTATTGTCTGAGCTATGTCTAAGATGTAAAAAATAACATTCTTGGTGTTTTCTAAAGATCACATCAAATATGGATTCTGTGGGCCGAATACAAATGCGAACGAGACGTACGTTGAGGGGTCACCTAGCTAAGATCTATGCTATGCATTGGGGATATGATTCAAGGTTTGTACCTGCCCCCCCCTTTTTTTTAAAGAGATGGGGAGAGAGAGGGGCAGGAGAAAGGAGGAGAGAGGAGAGAGAATCTCAAGCAGACTCCGCACTGAGCACGGAGCCCAAGGCATGGCTCGATCCCAGGACCCTGGGATCATGACCTGAGCAAAGGCAATCACTTAACTGCTTAACCAACTGAGCCACCCAGGCTCCCCACCAATTGATTTTTAAAGAATTTAATTTCGGGGTGCCTGGGTGGCTCAGTCGGTTAAGCGTCCAACTCTTGATCTCAGCTCAAGTCTTGATCTCAGGGTTGAGAGTTCAAGGTGGGCATGAGCTTACTTAAAAAAAAAAAAAAAAAAAAAAAATTCAGGTTCTGCCCTGTATCCTACTGTTAACTTCCCTTTCATAAAAAATTTCTGGCAGCCGCTACATAAAGTCCGCTAATGTTATTTACCTATAGGGAAGGGATCCGGGTGCCTTGGTGACAGGGGTAGGAAGGTGACTTCCCCCCCCTCACTGGGTAGCTTTTTTTGGTATCTTTTGAATTTTATACTCTAATGAAAATGTCCAAAGCAAAACAAAAAAGTTCAGTAACTAATAGTTGTTAAGAGTTCATATTTAGCCAGCAGACAAAGCTCTGCTGTTCCAGCCCTGTCCACTTTTCTCAGCTGTAATGCCCATTTCTCACACACTCTGTGCAACTGGAAAATTCACAATTCCTGAAACACTTGCTGTATTTTTCCTCCTCTTGTCAATGAACATACCCTCCTCACAGCATAGAGACTTCTACCTTTAGCTTATAGAATTCCGTTTTTCAGTATGCATTATTTTTCGCAAGACTCAACAAGCAGAGGTATTTGTCCCCCTTTTACTTTCCTATAGCATTGATTTTATACCACCCCTCTAACCATTTTTTACTTACTTAATTTATTGTAAACGTGTGTAAATACCTTTTCTCTGCCAGATGGTAGAGGCCTCAAAAGGCAGGAGGCACGTCCTGCATCATACCCATAACGCTGCCTTGCCTTCACAGGCTCTCAGTTAACATTATTAGGTGGAGTGAAATAATGGTTGTTAGGCTTATATGTCATTAAAGTTAAGTCAGTAAATAATGAACCACTCAGCTACTATCAGAATCTTGAATAAGAACTAGAATGTTGTCACCATAAAAAGTTGCATCATTTTTTTGAATTTTAACCAGAGGCATTTTTGGTGAAATGTTTAAATTTTTTTTTTTAAGATTTTATTTATTTATTTGACAGAGACACAGAGAGGGAACACAAGCAGGAGGAGTGGGAGAGGGAGAACCAGGCTTCCTGCTGAGCAGGGAGCCCGATGTGGGACTAGATCCCAGGACCCTGGGAACATGACCTGAGCTGAGGGCAGACGCTTAACCGACTGAGCCACTCAGGTGCCCCAAAATGTTTAAATTTTGCTAAAATCTATGTCCTATTGAAAACTTTTGGCATGCAAAATAAATTTTATTTTTTTAAGTTGGGAATATATTTCCTGGTATCAAGTTTTTTTTTTTAAAGATTTTACTTATTTATTTGAGAGAGAGAATGAGATAGCACGAGAGGGAAGAGGGTCAGAGGGAGAAGCAGACTCCCTGCTGAGCAGGGAGCCCGATGCGGGACTCGATCCCGGGACTCCAGGATCATGACCTGAGCCGAAGGCAGTTGCTTAACCAACTGAGCCACCCAGGCGCCCTCCTGGTATCAAGTTTTTAATTAGAAAAATATTTTTTTCTGAACTGCTCTACAGTAATGCAATGCATGACTAACTTAAACTACTTTTTCCTCTAAGTGTCAAATTATTTTTGTGTTTGTTCCTCTAGGCTACTAGTCAGTGCTTCCCAAGATGGAAAATTAATTATTTGGGATAGCTATACAACAAATAAGGTAGGATTTCTTAGTCATTTTCTTTAACCTTTTATTTGTTCTGGTGTCCAACAGTTCTTTCCTTTATTCAATTACTTCAAACTTTAATTTCCTTCAAAGATAAATTTATTCCATGTATTTTAATCTAGATCCTCTCTTTGGGCTTAGTGTTTGCTTTTAATATTAAGCCGTTTTATGTTCCCAAGGACAGTGGTAGGACTATCATTCAGTGTATTTTACTTGAGTCTCCTACTTTGTATTTTAATATTAGAAAAGGATGTACATCAGTTTTACATATGGATGATTTATTTTTTTTAAAGCTTTATTTATTTAAGTAATCTCTAGATTCATCATGGGGCTCAAACTCATGACCTTGAGATCAGGAGTCATAACGCTCTTCTGACTGAGCCAGCCGGGTGCCCCTATAAATGATTTTTTTTTTTTTTTAACTTACCCATTTCCTAATGGGCAGCGACCCTGAGATTTTTATTTCTAGTTGTGGGTAAGCCAGAATGCTAGTGTGAGGCTTTCCTTGGGTCCACTCTAGCCATTGATTTGTGTTTCTGGATTGCTCAGAAAATGCAGTGGCTTGGAGGCAAATTACAACTTTTTCCCATCTCTTGGCGGAACCCAGTGGGTCTTCCTAATGTGTCCACTGGAAGGAATCCTTGATGTAAAGGGGTTGAGTGGTAGCAGAAAAGCTTCAAGAAAACTTACACACATGAAATACCTTTTAGATTCTGTGTGTACTTCTATCACTATTTTTATTAAAGATTTAAAAGTCCTGTTTTGTGAAGTAAATAATAACTTCAGCCTGGTTGAGATTTTAAAGCTAGCTAAGACAGATTTATAACAGTTTTTCTATATTAATTGGCCCATCCAGCATGTCTTTCAGCTATATTTTCCTAGAACAAAAACAGCTTTTAAAATATTTTAGGTTTAAGTGAGAGCATAATAGTAATCATCGTTTAGCCTTGCTTATTCCCGTATACCTTAAATTTTGCCGCCTACTTGAAATGATTAGTATTGGGTAATAAGGCACCAGAGTGGTGTGGGCAGATCAGTGCAAACAATTGACATTTTTAAAATTTGGGTGCAGAGTATATATCCTACTATTAGGACACAGTACCATCTCTCTCTCTCTCTCAAGATTTATTTATTTGAGAGAGAGAGAGTGCACAAGCCAGGGGGAGAGGCAGAGGGGAGAGGGAGAAGCAGACTCCCCGCTGAGCAGGGAGGACCCTGGGATCATGACCTGAGCCAAAGGCAGATGCTTAACCAACTGAGACACCCAGGCACCCCTATGGGAGAACCATTTTATTTTTTTATTTTTTATGGAAGAACCATTTTAATTGGCTCTGATACTTGCATTGTTCAGTGTTATATTGGAGGAAATTCCTCTTTTGACTGTTACTATGAAAACAAAGAATTTTATTCAATTCTTTAACATTTTGCACTTAATATTTTGAATGGGTATATTAGCATTGAAACATTCTACGTCCTCTTAAAATAATTTCTGAAAAAGAACACTTAAATCTGAATGAATTGGTGATAAATGCTGACATGCCTATTACTTTTTCTGTATTAGTATTTTATTTTTCATTGTTCTCTTAAACCATTGCATTTTTAATTTGGCTTATTTTTAGTTAGATGCATTTAATTTTTAGTAATATTTGCTTCATTGTACATCGGTTTCAAAAAGGGACTGTTTTTGTAATCTTAGTAATAGTTTTTGTGTGTTACATTTGTTGTACAGATGCATGCTATTCCTTTGAGGTCTTCCTGGGTGATGACCTGTGCCTACGCTCCCTCTGGTAATTATGTCGCGTGTGGAGGGCTGGACAACATCTGCTCTATATATAACTTAAAAACCAGAGAGGGGAACGTGAGAGTGAGCCGAGAGTTACCGGGTCACACAGGTGAGCTCCACTAAATAGTGTCCTTTCCTACGAAATAGGAGGATTCCTAAGGGAGCCGATCAACGAGAACTAGTGACAAACCGTGGTCAGCTGCTGAAGATGGAGTGTTAATCAAGTGAGAGGAGAAAGGAGTATGAATCAGCAAAGGACCGAGTTTATAGTTCTACAAATGATGACTGTAACTTTATTTTTCTTTCAAAAACAGTCAATTTTATAAAAATGACAGATTGATTGTAAAATATTCAAACAATAAAAGAAAAGAAAAAGCAAATACAGGGGCACTTGGGTGGTCAGTCAGTTAAGTGATTCTTGATTTCAGCTCAGGTCATGATCTCAGGGTCGTGAGTTCAAGCCCTGTGTCGGGAGCCTACTTTAAAAAAAAAGGGGGGGGGGCAAATAGAATTTTCTCTTTTCTCTGCAACCATATAACAGTTAAGGGATTTTGGCATCTGTACTTAGTTATGTAATTGAAAGTGTGTATTAGATACACAGTGAAAAATACTTCATGGATGTGGTAGTGCATTGCTTGATTTGCCAGTATGCACACCATAGAGTGTACACCGTACTATATAGCATTTGGTTTGCAGTATTAATAAGGAATTTATTGCCACTCATCAGGCTTCTGCCTCTCTGAATTCTTGGTAGTACTATTTGATGATGCTTTTTACAAAAATCTCTAATATCATTTTCCTGCCATTTCCATATTTGGAAACACTGGTGAATTCTCATTCAGGTGACCCTTTTCCATGAAGCCTTCACTGAGGTTGTCATAATTTCTCACAGTAGTATTAAAGGATTTCCCAGTGTACCTAACTTAGTCTTCCATAGATGATAGAGATTTGTGTAAAGGAATCTCTCTGTCTTTGGTAATCATAGTAGGCAGAAGGGACTGTGTCCTAAGTTTGTCATTTTCAGAGTGTCCAACAAGGCGCGCCATCGACATAGTAAATACCTGAGAGTTTGTTGATAAAATTGAGTTGCAGACAGCATGGAACTTGAGGTAACTAAAAGTAGAACTATAGATTATACTAACAAACATTTGTTGCCCACGTATTGGGTTTTAAAAAGAATGTGTTACTACGTCACATGGTAACTGAGTCACTCCGTCAGCGATAACCTGAGATGTATTGCTCTCTCTGCTGCAGGCTACTTGTCCTGCTGTCGATTTTTAGATGACAGCCAAATTGTTACAAGCTCAGGAGACACAACTTGGTAAGTGTGGCCCAGGAGAACACTGATTTGGGGGTTGAGGGTGGTAGCGGGAACTAACATAAGGAAAGATCTAAGAGTCATTAATTTATGTTTAATCATAGCGCTTTATGGGACATCGAAACTGCCCAGCAGACCACCACATTCACTGGGCATTCTGGAGATGTGATGAGTCTTTCTCTGAGTCCTGACATGAAGACTTTTGTTTCTGGTGCTTGTGATGCCTCTTCAAAATTGTGGGATATTCGAGATGGAATGTGCAGACAGTCTTTCACTGGACATGTGTCAGATATTAATGCTGTCAGTGTAAGTAAATAGCATTTCTAAAGAAATGCATTGTGCCTATAAACTGTTGAAATCTATAACATGATTTTAACAACAAAAACTCCAGAGGGGTAACCACAAATAGAGAAAGCCAGGTAAGTATTCGTGTATATGAAAATGAAGTAGTATGTGGTTATTATTGTCCTGTGTAGGTCAAATGCTAAACTGTGTGGAAATAGCTAGGATTTCCAGAAGTACTGTGAATACAAATGCTTATGTGTATAAGACACTCCTAATTTTGTAAGAAGATGTATTTGGGGAAATATTGAAAGCCATTTTTTGTAATTTTGTTGAACATCTGAGAAAGTAAATGCTTTGTTACCCCCACCCTCTATTAGTAGGCCAGCCTGGTTAGAAAAATAGAATTTTAGAGCAGGTAAACCTAGTCTTCTCCATCTCTCATCCTGTCACCTCTATCAGGTTGATGGTATTCTCTTTTCCTAATTTGCTTAGATTTTGTCAGGGATGAATGGAATTTAGTAAATGCTTTGTCTTTATCTGTTGAGATGATCATGTGGTTTTTGTTTTTTCAGTCTGTTAAATGGTGAATTCACGTTGATTCACCCCCACTCCCCAAATATTAACCCACCCCTGTAATTCTGGGACAAACCACACTTGGTCATCATGCATAACTTTTTTAATATATTAATGCATTTGATTTATAAAGTTTTTATAAAGTTTTACAGCCATATTCATAAAAGTTCTATTTTCCCTTTCTTCAAATGTTTTTTCTGGTTTGGTATGAGACTAATGCTGGCCTTGTAGGCAGAGTTGGGGACCATTCCCTCCACTTCAGTTGTCTGGGACAGATTGTGTAGAATTGGTCTTATTTCTTCCTTAAATGTTTGGTTTAATTTCCCTGTGAAAGTTCTCTAGGAGAATTTTCTTTGTGAGAAGAGATTTAACTACAAATTTAATGTCTTATTTGGATATAGGCCTGTTGAGGTTATCCATTGAGTCCTAACCCCCACTACCTCAGGATGTGACCTTATTTGAAAAATAGGGTTGTTGCAGATATGATTAGCTGAGTCATACCGGATTGGAGGTCATTTAATCCAAGATAAGCGGTATCCTTAGAAAAAGGGGAAAGCTCCAGACCAACAAGCAGAGAAGGTAAACAGTGTGAAGACTGACAGGGAAAAGACTGCCGTCCATGGCCCTTAGACACGGACTGTGAGACCTTAAATTTCTGCTGTGTAAGCCACCCAGGTTGTGGCGCTTTGTTACACAGCTGCCCTAGCAAATGAATACATTTGGTAGAGGTTTATCTGTTTTCTTTATCTTCTCAAAGAACCATCTTTTGGTTTGAACAGTTTGCTCTATTTTTCTGCTTTATTAATTTTTCTGATTATTTCTTTGCTGTGTAGTTGGGTTTCATTTTCTTTTTCTAGGTGTGTAATGTAGAAGTTGATACCATTGATTTGAAACTTTTTTTTCTTTCTTAATATTGAAGCTTAAAGTGTAAATTTCTAAACATTGCTTTTGGTGCATTCCACAGATTTGGATGTGCTGTGTTTTCATTTTCACTTAGTTAAAAATTCTTTATAATTTTGATCTCTTTGACCCATGAGTTTTTTAGAAGTATGTTACATAGTTTTCAAATATATGGAGATTTTCTAGGTATCTTTATTTTTGTTAGTTTTTAATTGCATTATGGTCCAAGAAAACACTTTGCATGATTTATAGGATTCTAAACTTCTTGAGACTTGTTTTATGGTCCAGAATACAGTCTGACCTGGTCATTGTTCTGCACTTGAAAAGAATCTCTATTCTGTTACTGGGTGGAGAGTTCCACAGATAACAATTATCTCAAGTTGGTTAATAGTATTATTCAGGTCTTCTGTATCCTTACTGATACTTGTCAGTTCTTTCTATTTATTATTGAGAGAGGGCTATTGAAATCTCTAATCATGTATTTGTCCATTTTTCCTTGCAGTTTATTAGTTTTTGCTTCAGTGAGTATTTCAAAGCATAAACCTTTAGGATTATTGTGTTCTCCTGGTCAGTTGATTTCTTTATCATTATGAAATGTCTTTCTTTATCCCTGGTAATATTATTTACTCTGAAATTTTTGTCTGATATTAATAGAACTACCCAGCTTTCTTTTGATTAGTCTTAGCATGGGCGTATCTTTTGCCTTGCTTTTACTTGCTATTTGTATTTTTATATTCAAAGTGATTTTCTTATAGGACAATAGTTGGGTCTAAAGAGTCCTATTTTGGGGCGCCTGGGTGGCTCAGTCAGTTAAGCATCTGCCTTCGGCTCAGGTCATGATCCCGGGGTCCCGGGATTGAGCCGCACATCGGGCTCCCTGCTCAGCAGTGAGTCTGCTTCTCCCTCTCCCTCTGCCCCTTCCCCTCCCCTGCTCATGCTTTCTCACGTGCTCAAATCTTAAAAAAAAAAAAAAGTCCTATTTCTGCCTTTTATTGTTTAGACCATTTACATTTTATGTGATTCTTGTATTGACGTGATTAGGTTTAAATCCGCCATTTTGCTCTTTGCCTTTTGTCCTGTCTATTCTTTGTTCTTTTTCTCCCTTCTTTTGAGTTTTTAAAAATTTTTGAATTTCTAAATTTCCTTGCTTGGCTTTTTAGCGATATTTTTGTTGGTTTTTGGTTTTTGTGGTTGTGGTTGTAGTTGCTGAGAAAATCTGTGGTATACATTTCTATTGATGGCAGTCTACCTTTAAGTGCTCTTATACCACTTTTACACATAGATAAGCACCTTTTACCTGGATTCTCCCACTTCTCCGCTCCCAGCCTTTGTGCAGTTGTTGTTATAGATTTTACTTTTGTAGGTCTTAAACCCAGCAGTACATTGATATTATTGTCTCTTTCAAGAGCTGATGCTCCTTTAGGGAGATTTAACAAAGTCTTTACGTTTATTAACAGTTACCATTTTCTGTGCTCCTCATTCTTTTGTTTATGGATGCAGGTTTTCATCTGTTTTTCTTCTTGAAAGGCTTCCTTTAATGTTTCTTACAGTGTAAATCTGTTAAAGTCGGTCAGCTTTTATATATCTAAAATATTTTTTATTTTGCTTTCATTTTTGAAAAATATTTTCACTTTTTTTTTTTCCCCTTCTGTTGATAGTCTGAAGATGTTATTCCACTGTCTTTTGGTTTATGTTGGTACTGATGTGAGATGTGCTATCATGCTTATATTTGGTCTCTACACAGTGTGTCCTTTGTTTTCCTCTGGCTGCTTTTAATAAATATATTTTTTTTTCCTTAAAGATTTTATCCATTATTTCAGAGAGAGAACAAGTTGAGCTGGGGCATGGTAAAGGGGCAGAGGGAGAGGGGGGAGAGAGAATCTCAAGGAGACTCTGCACTGGGCGCAGAGCCCGATGCAGGCCTTGATCCCACAACCCCAAGACCATGACCTGAGCCGAAACCAAGAGTTAATGGCTGAACCGACTGAGCCACCCAGGTGCCCTTTCTCTTTATTTTTAAGCAACTTGATTATGATGTGTCTTTATATAATTTTCTTCATATTTCTCGTGTCTGGATCTGTGGATTATTCATCAAATTTGGAAACTTTTCAGCCATTATCATTAAAATATATTTCTGTCTCTTCTCCTCTGGGGACTCCAAATACACATATATTAAGACACCTGAAGTGTTCCCACAGTTCATTCATACTGTGTTCATTTTATTTTTCAGTCTTGTTCCTTGCTCTAGTTCACTCTGGATAGTTGCTGTTGCTGTGTCTTCCAGCTCAGTACACTTCTTCTGCAATGTCTCATTTGCCATTAAACCCAAACAGTGTCCTTTTTTTTTTTTTTTTGAAGATTTTATTTTTTTTTTTTGAGAGAGAGAGCACATGAGAGGGGGGAGGGTCAGAGGGAGAAGCAGACTCCCCTCTGAGCAGGGAGCCCGATGCGGGACTCGATCCCGGGACTCCAGGATCACGACCCGAGCCAAAGGCAGTCGCTTAACCAACTGAGCCACCCAGGCGCCCAACAGTGTCCTTTTTAATCTCAGACATTGCTTTTGTCCTTGTCTGTTAATTCTATCATCTGATATTTTTGGGGTTTGTGTCAGCGGAATGATTTTTTTTTTTCCCTCCTAATTACGGGTCGTATTTTCTCACTTTTGTATGTTTGATTTTCATTAGATGTGATGCCAGACATTGTAAATTTTACCTTGTTGGGTGCTGGATAATTTTGTATTTATATAAATACTATTTAGCTTTGTCCTAGGGAATAGTTATTTGCAAATAATTTGATCCTTTGGGGTCTTACATTTCAGTTTTGTTAGGTGGGACCAGAGCAACACTTTGTGTATGCTTAAGTTTGTCCCACCAGTGAGGGGAAAACTTTATGATTTCTCTTCCCAGTGAATTGTGAGGTTTTCCCTCTTTCTAGGAGGGACAGACATTATTCCTGGGCCTGGGTGAGCATTGGCTTGTTTCCTGTTATCTTTATGGGTGTCTCCTCTGCTTCAGTAGTTTCCTCACATACCTGTGATCAGCACTCAGCTGAATACTTGAGGGGCCCCTTACCATCTCCTGGCTTTCTGTCAGGAGAAGAGAGGTTTTCCCTTCTGGTTTCTGGCCTGTGAACTCTAGCTGCCTTGGACTCCCTGGATTCCCAGCTCTGTCTCCTCAACTCTGGGACACCAGTGGGCTCCATTTGGGATCCCCTTCCCAGCACCATGACCTGTAAACTTTCTCCAGGCAGGAAGTTGGGACAGTTACGGGGCTTACCTCATGTGTGTCCTGGGTCTCAGGGACCACTCTCCTTTGTTGACTGATAGCCCGTGTCTTTAGAACCAGGTTTCATATATTTTGTCAATTTTATTTGTTTTATTTATTTTATTTTTTTCAGCATGGGGGTAAATGTAATCACTGTTAACTCCATTTGGGCTGAAAGCAGAAGTATAATTCTTTCTTCAGCTCATTTTTAAAAAGTTAACAGTTTAAAGGGGCTTGCCCAGTATTTGAAAGTCATTTAAAAAGACCAACATAGACTTAAGATAT